TTTCCGCATGCGTACGCATACAGACCACACCGAAAGCAAAGCATACGGCCTGTTCAGTGTGGCCGGATCGCATTTCTCGCCCGATCGCATTCAGACCCCCGTTCTCCGTGAGTGCAAATAGTCGCCTTCCCAACGTTGATCTCCCTGCAGAGCTTCGTTCACGAGGTAAAGGCGATCATTTGTTGATACTGGATATCCACTTGACAATCAGTGAAAACAACGGGGAGGGCGGCACTTAATGGGCCGGCTAATGGGGGTCGGAGGTGCTTTTTAAAGTGATTGACAACTACGATGGTGCATCAAAGAAAAGCCGAAAGCACTTAGCCGAAAAAATTCAAAACCCGAATTTTTTGCGCAATACTTCATGCTTTCGATACACTCTTTTTGATGCGTAACAGAGTAAGGAAGTTTACCAAGAAAACATTGGGGATTCACAACCTTACAGTATCTCAAGTTAAGTGCTTCGAAAAAGAGCACTTATCTGTACATTTCTCGAGTTGTCTGTGGCAAACATACTGTCCAGTTACTCAAGTATTCTCAAGTGGAGCACAGACCAATTTACGATGTTCGGGGAGAGCTTCAAGAGCATCACTCTTAGGAAATAAAACGACAGAAAAACGGCCTTGTTCAACATTTTATTGTTCGAAAGTTCAGAGAAGTGTGTAGACTTTTCAAAGATTTTTTAGCGCTCCAATTTCATACCCCAACAAACATCGCGACGACTTGTGCCATACAGCAGAAACTCAACAAAATTCATTTTTTGGACAACACTGTGCTGGTTCCACCCCAATTGATGAGAATCAACCCACCTCTTGCTTCAAGCACAAGTTCCATGACTAGAAGCTACTACGGTATGCACTCCGCACCAAAAATCCCTTGTGGGGAGATTCTCCTAGGCCAGCATGTTCCGTTAACAACAGACTTTACAACAGACATAACTAGAAGGCATTACTCCCCACCGTCACCAACTACTCCCTATTGCTACTACTGTGACTTATCTCCCATAATTAGTGCTCTGGAAGGAGCGAAAAACTCCAAAGGGGACAAAGTGGACGCCGGGTCAGCGCTGTAGATCCGAGATCTCATGGGGGCCACAAGGATTTGCACATTCTCAAGATCACTATCGGATTTCTTGAGGATCTCGAGGGACTTGCGCATACGAACGTAACAATGGATAGATACCCAAGAAGAGAACACGTTGCGCAATCATTTTAGTACAAGTGCTTCTTTGTGCATGTAGCCTCGCGCTGCACTTGCGGTCACGACATTTGACCCCATGTACGCGCACAGGTCTTCCCAGGCACTCAACAATCTGTCACCTAATTTTCTAACAAACAATGCTTCAGTTACTCCGATTACTGTGGAACAGATACGATAACATATGGTATGAGTACCGTAGCCGATCCTATTCGGACAAGGTCCATATGTCCTCGGGAGGAACGCTAAGGGTTTGCGGCAAGAGCCTCTGAAGACGGCGCCAGCAGTAATTGCGCGTTTTGCGTGACCCTACACCTCTTCAGCAAAGCAATACCGCAAAGAAAAGCTCCGTAGTGTTTAGCAGAACCTTATATGGTGGCAGCAGTGATAAAGGATCAGATATGAAGAGCTAGAAGTGTTGTTCGAAGGCGGAAAAGTACACATTTTTTCTGGTCAGCGTAGCGGATTTTTATCTAGAAGAAAAAGCAGTAGTGGCCAAAGTTTCTCTCAAGAATTGCTTACTCTTCCACGACTTCCAGTCCTTTGTAAGTCACGATGATCAACAAAATTTGAAGCTGATGCGTATTTGTCCGCCATACTCAATTACAACAAGCCTTCACCGTGCAGCTGCCATTAGCATTTTGATTCCAATTGCAAACGTTCGTAACAAATCTACCAATTCACCCCTCCTCTTCGCCCTACCGTTATTAGAGTGGTCGGCGAGCGTCGGAGCAATTTGTGGATGGAACACTAATTGCGTTTTTCCCGGACTTGATCTTTGCGCGTTTGCAAAATTGGATATGAGACCCGAAACCAGCACCAAAATGGATTTGTGCTCGTTCCCAAGGCTCTCATCCTCAGATCACCGCGGTGTGAGTTCATTACAATGGCCCCCGTGTGGGAGAGCCACTGTCACTTCGAAGACAAAAGGATGACCTCTCGCTGAGGCTGACAAGAACGACTGCATATCGGCTTGGCGGGCAGCATGCATGGCTGGGATAATTTTGGCCCGGGATTATCAGAGCACACACACCGATATCGTATTTCAAAGAGCATTCCGTTGATTGATGTGGGAATTAAAAGGGGTTCCTAGAAGCCGTGTGCGAAAACAGCATCCATCTCTGCTTTGCTAAGATAACTCCGACAGGTTGGATGCTTCACAAGGTCATAAAGGGGAAATTTCAAAAATGTTCAGTTGTGTCCATGCAAAGTTCGCTGTTTCTCGAAAGTGCACTGGCAGATTTCCTTATCTAACGCTCATCTCGATGCACTTCGAGCAGAGAGCATATACCTGCATAAAAAAGCTAGAACTCTGAACACTACAAGCACTTGAGCATCAAAAGCCCCAGCTAATCGTCCGCTTCACATAAATTAGAGCTATTCTTGCAGCGCCGGTGCTTCCTTCACTCAGCAAAGAAACACTAGAACTGCAGAAAATCGTGGGGAAGCGTTGTAAAAACTAACATCAAGCTATGATTCCTTCCTAAGCCGATTACGTAACGTAATACTTTGCAGGGGAGAGACTACTGCCAGCTTAGACGTCTGTACTTTGCAAATCCTGCAAAGAAGCTCTCTTGCAACTTTCTTTCTAAAACACATTTGTACTTGTGGAAAGGTTTCAAGGTTAACTGGACAGTCTTCACAAAAGCAGCAGGGTTTTCTCATCCTTTTGAATTTCCTCGCAAAAAAGGTGCCAACATGAAAGTAAGCGAGATGTTTCGCCATGCAATTTCATGTGTACTCAGCAAGTTTCACTCAAAAATAGTCCCATGGTGAAGGGCTTGCCCCATACAATCGCAAACAATAGCGTTATGAGAACCCGCGGCGCCAAATCCGCTCCCCTCGACAGTCAATTCCGCTGCGAATTGGTGGGGGTGAGAATAAACAGAAACTTGGCAGCGGACCCGGTTGTTCGCCTCGCACTTCCTCGTTTGACCCTCGCGATGAAGTATAACTCCGAGCACATCTCCGTAACGAGTTACTGACAAAATCTCGCGATGTCGAGCAGTTCGAGCTGAGAGTGGAGATGTCGTCGAGCGATAGACATGACGATCAGAGTAGCAGATACGAGTTGCGACCGATTACAGTCAGATTAGAGACGACTTGGCGCCGACGCCTACAAGGCCTTTACGAGTCGAAATTATCTCGAGCGCATGTCGAACAAGTTGTGAGTATTGGCTACTGCTATAATTGTTGGGAAAGCTCATAAAAAGTTTTCCAGCTGGTACTCGGTGAGAACGTCCCGATGGAAGTCAAATCCGGGAGAGGTTCAGCGAGAAGAATAAGTGGAGTACCTTCTTGGAAATTACATCTGCGTTCGGTCTTATACACCAGATTATGCCCGAAAACAGAAAAAGATACGAACTAGCAGAAATCTTCTTAGCTTGCCCTATCAAAGCGAGACAGATCAAAGAAAAAAACTATCTCGGGCACTACTGTCATTTATATCTTAGCTATGGTCGTACAGAAAAATATAGCCGCTGGAAAGTCGGCATCACGAAAGAGAACTTGATAAGATACATTCTAATGGCTCAAGATTTTGCCTTTGTTCTTGATTTGGAAAAAGAGTGACTCGCCTCCCAAAAACATGAAAACATAAATTTATACGTTTCCAAACCTGTGACTGAAGCACCGAGTTTCAAAAGATCCTTAATCGAAAGATTAATGATAGCACAAAAGTAAAAGAAGCAGCTGGTGTCGGGCGCATAAACTTATCGTCCGAAACTGAAAGAAACTTCTAACTGCTTCTAATTACGCATTACAAAGCCCATAAATTTTGTATAGGCACTAAACTGAAAGCGGAGAAAAACTCTAGTACAACTTCGAGACGACGCTCTCGAGGCACTCGAAGGTTGAATGAATGTGCATCGGAAGTACAAAGAAGATGTTTTAGTTGAAGAAGTTTCTAGTACGAGTCAAACTTTGCAAATTTGGTGAGACTTCAAGAAATGAGGAAGAGAATTCTACTTAGATCAATAATGAAACTTCAAAGTGACACAGATTTAAGTTGAATAAAAAAGTCGTATATTTTGCTTGGAAAAAGGAATAAAGAGACTAAAGAAAGCTGCACAGGAGCAAAGAAACCAGCCTTTTCTAAAAGCAAAATTTGCAGCAATTTTTATAATTTTGCTAGATGATACCTCTATAAAAGTAGCAATTTTGAATGAGATCTCACAGAAGAAGCCAAATTTTACCGGACAGAAAGCAATGAAACTCAAAACAGCATTAGAAACTAGTCATAATTGAGATTGTCTATGAATAAATCATCATGCGGTGAAGTTAAATATGGAAATTTGTCAGAAAAAACGACTATCTACGGAACATATAAACCTGTTCTCGGAAAGAAAATCGCGCTTAAATCAACAATTACGATGAAATGGAACGCTAAAAAGCGCTGAAACGGGCACTAAGGGCGGAAGAGCTCGCTTAGCCAAAAATAAACGAACCGCTCTAGGTGGATTAGGGGGAATCTAAACACTTCCTTTGCTCGCCAATAGTGGTAGAAAAAAGCTATAGCTATCAATCGGGAGAAGCCTCTAAATCTTGCCCAAACCTATGGTTAAGCATTAGTAAATCGCAGCTGGAGCTAACAATTATCGTATTATCCGATGAAATTGCCGGTATTGAACGGACATTTTTGCGGCATATGGACAAATATGATAATGGCAGATAGAGATGATTATTTTCCGGCAAGTCCACTGGCAAAAAGAATGCGCATGACAATTAACTTAACAAATTATAGAAACACAATATGACGACAGCTTACACAGCAAAAGAAGAACTGGAAAAACAAAAACACTTACTTGAATTGACAAGCTGTTTCGGTCGTAGGTTGAGGATTGTTGCAGAATTAAACCGCACTAACAGACAAAACAGGGAGATTGCAAGCAGGCGCATCGTTGTTGCAGTCAGTACTTGTGAAAATAAGTCCAGTTAACGTTTAGAACCACATTAGTGCAGATAATAACGATTATTATCTGAAAACATTGGAACATTATGAAAAAGAAGAGGAAAAAGCACACAGTCAAAAGAATTTTTGAAAGATTTCGGCTGGGAAAGAGCGAAAAAGAAGTGAAGATCCTAATTTCCACGGATGAAATCAGTAGTTGGAGGATAAATGGATCGATCGACACGGTTCTGATACCTATCAGATTGAAACTTTACGGGGTCGCACAAAGTAAACATCACGAAACAAACGAGGCGAACGAGACCTTGAGAGGAAAGAGATCCACAGGATCCCGATATCGATTGATTAGAACAACTCTTCTGATCAGAAGTGATCGATACGATTGATTCGATGCCAATCAATAGCGCTGGACCTTTGGCAGAAATCGAGGTGCGGCTGTGTATTGGACCGCACAGTGCACATCGCGATAGAAGTGGGCGTGACCCCCGTGGAAGGCGAGGCGGGGCTGGCCAGCGGTCAACGGGGCCGAGATAGCGCGCCCGCGCCCGAGTGCGCAGAGACACGAGGAGTCCTAAAAACGGGGGAAGAGCAGAAGATGCAAGTGAGAGCTGCTGAATATGAATTATTTGGCAGTGACAATGATTATTACGCTCGAAACAAATGATATGGGCGCCATAGAGGGGGGACGGGGGAAGGGGTGGAGTGGGGACGGAAGTGAAGGTTGAGAACTACAAGTGCTATGACTTGCAAGGAGAAATTCGAGCTGCTTGGGAATAGTGGACATATAAGCAAGAAAAAGCGGAGGCAACAATTGGAGGAGGAGTAAGAAAATAGGTTCCTTTGACAACAATGAAAAAGATCTTCGCACAAAAAACAAGCAAGACCTGCCTAGAAAAAGGTATTTTTTATTGCAAATCAAGAAGAACATGCTTCGCGTTTTTTGGTGCATGTTTATAACCTCACTATAATCTCGAGGACTCATTGATAGCGATGGCTGGTTCTTCTTCCCTAACAAATCTGGCAGAAAATAATAGACTCATGCAGATTGTGGATCTCTTGTGCCGAGAATGACCAGAAAACTACAAAGTAAAAGAATGGACTTGAAATGGCAGACTTACGGGTATCATCGGCTCCCAGATTCGTGTGGCAGGTTACAGACTTCCCCTGATCATAAGGATGCTGTTAAAGCTCCACGTTACGACGGTGATTTTCGTATTCTCTCATTGACTTTATCCTTATAATCAAGGAAAGTCCGCATCCCGCTCCCACACGAATCTGGGAGCCTCTCATATAACAGTTCATGGTTATTCTGATTGTTGGTGTTCTCATATGCGTGTTCGTTCGTGAGAAAACTACAAAATTTCACGATATTATATTCTGTTCACTACTTCACGGCTATCATATTTATTCTTTAGAAACTCCCACTCGAGGGAACTTCAAACACTCGAATCTCGGTATCAATGTACTTAGAAGCATTAAATTATGCAAATTAAAAGTGAAAGAAATTTCCTATTTCACGACTTTTATGCAAAAAAGATGAGGATATGACCACTTGTTTCGCTTCCTCAGCTTTCTTGCTCCAGCAAAAATATGGAATAAGCGCGCTAAATACAACCAAAGAAATCTATGGCAAAACTGTCAATCTGAAGGTTCTGTGTGTGAAAACTGTGCAGATATTCATGGTGTCATTGGCACTACACGCCTTTACGGGATATAGAAAAGAAGGAGAGAGGTGGTTTTGAAAAATAGCATAACACATGAAAGTTTGAAGACTTCTCGAAACACAATGTGATTGGCACAAAAAGTTCACGGTATACATTTTTTGTGAAGAAAATGTGCAATGATGCTAGCGTCTGCAGCTTGCACAAAGAAAGTGCTTTGAATGGTTTTGTCGCTATTGTTTAGATTTTCTCGCGCAAAAAAAAAGCAGAGAATAGGACGAAAGCGGAGAAAAGGATGACGAAGATTTCGTTATTGCAGCTACCGTAGCCCAATCACAGCTTTTATGGTTTTTCAAGAGCTTTTGCAGCTGCGCTCAGTCGCCGCTTCGTCGGAAAAACTCGACGAGGCTATGGAGAAAAGAAACAGCTTCATCGTCATCACCACCATCATCACCATCATCACCAACAAGCTTAGGTCAGATGACGTTGATGGGTATTGATCGGTAGGTCAACAAAGTGCGCACACCTTCAAGTGCGGTTTGTATGCTGTTGAAGCTGATAGCGTGCAAAACAACACGACGCTTACGGATGTTTACCTAACATGGGTGCGTTAAGAGATTAGACGACACGGCTGGTCACAGACGGTCACTACACCGCAAACGTCTCCAATTTCTCTTTAGGACCCCTCCCCCCACTCAAATTAGGCCCAACAACTCGTTGCTGTAGATCAAATCGTCGTGTTCCGCTACTGTATCACCAAAAAACATCAGCGGAACTATGGCCTTATTGTGCTTGTGTGCACGATTGCTATCTAAATTGGTTCCATACGGGTTAGTTTGTATTGGAAACTGAATGGGAACTCCAGGGCTAAAGATAAGCGTCAAAAAATCCTTGTGGGATTGAAAATACTGTGTCAGTGTTTCAAGGTTCATTTTTCAGTGCTTGCGCCGCTTTCGGAGGTTATCAAGAGTGACCCAAAAAGATTGCGCAGACCGAAGGGTTATTATTCATTACTCTATGTCACGAACAGCGATTGGAATAGAAGCAAAACATTGAAAGATTTATGCCAGGAGTAGAGGAGTGAAGGAACGAATCAAAAGGTGAGAAAACTACGAGATTAGATTTATAGTTGGGGAATTCTCCGAAAACTGATCTCGTAGTTTGATTTCTAGACGTGTCTTTGGTCGAAGAAGGATACGAAAAAAACTTTTGAACTTAGGCATCTTAAAAATTACTCAAAGAATAGTCGCTCAGTTTCTACCTAAAAAGAAGAGAAATGATGTAGGGTCGGGCATAGTTCTCGCATTTGGCAATATTCCAACTCTCCATAACATTGTAAGCACATTTTGAATGTACAGAGGATAGAGAGTTTTATCAGCCTACGTAAGTTATACACACTATGCATGCGCAGTTTGCTAGTTGATCTAAAGACTTCTGGCGAATTATCAAAATCGCGTCGCGACTGAAATCGCGTGAAGTATGACCGGCCCTTAAGGCTACAAATCTGCAAATGACACGGTAGACTACGAGTTGCCGTTGCCAACCTTCTTTACATACTTAAGAACGTCCCCAATCATTCATTGGTAGGTTTGCCTTTGGCAAAGGAGGAAAATGGTACTCAAGTATCAAATATCCATTCCACTCTTGTAGTGCACATATATGAGGTTATTGTTAGGAACTTCAGTCTCTCGACTCCAGAAAAGCTCAAATAATTCCTTGCAACTTTTTGAAATGTTAAACAATAGATGATTATTGACGACAGCAATAAATACAAGCATTCATTCATTTTCTACTGGAACATACAGCCGAGTTAAGTACGTATTCGATGGAGAGTCAAAATCAAATAAAAACTAAAATTTATTTCGGAGTGACGTTCGCCGCTAATAACGGATATTTCATCTATTAGTGAAGTGCTTTAGGATACTTTGGAAAATATGGAGGAGCCAGTAAAATCGACAATCATGGTAATGTCATTGATCATTGGTGCTGTTTATTTCTTCCCTTTTTCAGAAAGGTGGTCAGAACAGATAAAATGATACCCTTTTCCGTTAAACCGCCACTTTTTAAAACGCTTTCGTTATCTTTACGTCACTTTGTAGAGCTTGGACAATGCCTTCTCTTTTGATAACTGGGTAGTATGAACTCGAGAAATCTCAATATAGCGAGGCAAAAAAAAATTCTGTTATAGAGCTGATTATGAGCAGCGCAGAAGTTCATAGATCAGAGCTTTTTTCTTCGCAAAATCAATAAATCGTGGGAAAAAAGGCTGCATAAGCAATTAGTCAGAAGTTAGATAGCAGATTCTAGCAGTCGTTTATATATGCGCGCCACCTCATTTAGCAGTCAAAAGGGCACCCCACATGGCTCAAGAGATTAAGACGACACACAGCGAGAATGCTTTGACTTCTTAGTTAGCTCTTCTCATAAATTTTCGCCACCCCGTACAACTTCTGTAATGACATCTGTACCCCGGTGATTCCTGATTTCCAAGGGTTAAGCATGCCCGTTTGTGCACTTGCCCATCTTTACAACCGTTATCAATGTCACGGGGAAGAACTGCGTCGTTCGACCGTTCAATCAGCGTGAAACTAGCCACATCCGGATCGTATTTGGCGGCTCAAGTGCTTCTGTGGGTTTTTCTTGTAATCAATTTCCGTTCAAAAAAATATGCCAGATAGGAACTGAGCTCAATCCAAATGTTTCTTCAGACCTTGAAATTAGAAGACAATGTAAAACATTTTTTTTGTGGGGCGGTGAAAACACGCCCCAACAAGGGTAAATAAATTTATTTTGGTCGAATTTTGTGGTGTGTATTTCAAGCGCAATGTCACACCGTGTTGACTACCCTTCAAACACGAACAATTTTTTAGAGTCAAAATTTGTAAACTGCGCATATACGAGGCGATCAAACTGCAAATCCCTAAAGTCGTCATTATGTTTTAGTTTGAAAATCAAGAAATTCTGGCTGTACATTTGAAAAGAATGAAATTTGTGATTTTGCAAACTCTTAAAAGTAATTCCAGGGGATTAGATAGACAAGAATCAGAAACTGACACAATGACGTCACGTTCCCATGGAGTAATGAAAGGGGTGTGAACTTTACAGAAATACTTGTGGTCATCTAAAGTACCCTTACACGATTGTTTCCAAGAGCTCCTAAATCCTTATTTAGTGATTTATTTCCGATTCTAGAAACAGAAGAAAATTTCTATTTTTCTGCTCTAAGGCAGGGAAACGAACTTACTCGCTCCTTCGTAATAAGGAACTTAAAATATGTTTCCTGAACACTTACATGAACTACGTCTTACATTATACTACACCTAAGACAAAGGCTATTTTTTTTCGCGGAAGGTTGATACTTGACTTTTTTAGGGGAAGTAATTGAAAAAAATCCTTTTTAGATTTTCGT